TGCCAGCACTTGGGAGGCTGAGGCAGGAGGATTGCCCGCAGATGAGTAAAGGCCTCGCTTCAAAGGGAAAAAAAAGCCAACAAGCGACAATACATTATCTCTACACAAAACAATCAAAGAATCAGTCTCAGCTCACCTTGTAGAAAACTACAAATTTATTTATTTTCTTTTAGAGACTGGGTCTCACTATATAGCCCAGGTTGGCCCTGCACCTGGTGACTGGCTGCTTTCAGCCTCCCAAATGCATGAGCCATAGATCAGAATGGTCACGTAGTAAAAGAAGAGATGGCACCTGCCCTGCAAGCCCAACAGCACCGCCCGCTGCAGGGCAGGAAGTGCGAGGCCTCGCCCCCTTCCTTTGATGTCAGCTTACATGGCCTGTGGACCATCCTAGCAGAAGCAGCTCCCTAATCTAGACAGTCTATTTTTAGGAAGCTTTTGTGCTGAAGCAAAGGCAGATGATGTGTCTGGCACTTGGCAATGACTGGGAGGGTGTGGAAGCAACTTCCCCTGTCACCTCGTCAGGAGCCCACCATACTCGACTGATCATAAAAGTGTTCTGAAGGCTTGGGGCAGCGACATGGCTCAGCAGGTAAAGGAACTTGCTGCCAAGCCTGATGACCTGGGTTCAATCCCCGGGACCCCACAGAGTGGAGGCAGAGAGCAGACTTCTGCAGGTTGTTCTCTGGCATTCATGTTCGTGCACACACACAACATGCACAAAACAAAACAAATGAAAAAAAAGTCCCAGCACTGGGAGGCAGAGACAGGTGGATCTCTGTGAGTTCAAGGCCAGTCTGGTCTACATAGTGAGTTCCAGGACAGCTGGGACCATAGAGAGACCCTATCTCAAAAAAGACCAAAACAAAACAACCCAAACAGAACAAACAAAAAACCCAGAAGGCTCAAAACTATTGCCTTTTAGTTAACTAATTCATTTAGTGATAATGGAGGTTAAACCCAGGGTCATGGGCACGGCAGGCTGAGCTGCGGCCCTCAGCCCTATTTTTTTGTTGTTGTTGAGTGTGGCCCTGAATTTGTGAACCTCCTTCATCATCCAGCTTAGAGGCGTTTTCCATTAGGCTCTTCTAAAAGCATTGGGGGCTGGAGAGATGGTTCAGCAGCTGAAAACACTAGTTGTTCTTGCAGAAGACCCGAGTTCGAATCCCAGCACCCACATGGCAGCTAATAACAGTCCGTAACTCCAGTCCCAGGGGATCTGACAGCTTCTTCTGACCTCCACAGGCATTGTAGGACACGGGTGTACTTACCTAAATGCAGGCAATACACACACATACATAAAATAAAAATAATAAATAAAATTAAAAAAAAGAGGGTTAGCAAGTGACTTGTAAAAGGTAAAGTACAGCTGGGCGTGGTGGTGCACACCTTTAATCCCAGCACTCGGGAGGCAGAGGCAGGCGGATCTCTGTGAGTTCAAGGCCAGCCTGGTCTACATAGTGAGTTCCAGGACAGCAGGGGCTACAGGGAGACCCTGTCTCAAGAAGACCCCCCCCCAGCAAAAAAAAAGGTAAAGTACATTCACCTGATGGAGAAGATGTACTCTATGTAATTACCTCAACTTTAGACGGATGAAGCTTTAGGACCGCGGCAAATGCACTGCAATCAGTAAACAGCCAAACGATTCAACATTTAACTTCAGTGTTTCTTGGAGTCTCAAGTTATTTCATATTGTCAATTTTGTCCAATTTGTTAGTTTGAAAATTGAATTTCCTCCCTCATTACACACATTTACTATTACAATAAAAAGGTAAAGGGAATTTAGTTCAAAAGTGTTACAAAAGGGGGCTGGAGAGGTGGCTCAGTAGTTAAGAGCACTGCCTGCTCTTGGAGGACCTAGGTTTGGTTCCCAGCACCTACATGGTGGCTAACACCCACCTGTAACTCCAGTTCCAGGGGATCCGATGTCCTCTTTTGACCTCTGCAGACATTGCATGAATGTTGTGCCCTCAACGAAGGCAAAGCACTCTACACAGAAGTAAAATAATAAATAAATAAATAAAAATGGTTACAGAAGACGGGAGGTTATGTGTCTCTCCATTAAGTAAATGCTATTTACTAAGCCTGAATCCTATGAATTGTTTCAATGAAGCTTATCTTGGAGACACAGGTTTTCTTTTCTGGCCTCTCAGAGCATTATGCTTAGGCCTCTCTGATACTTTTGTTGTTGACTGAGATGCTTCAAGTATGCTAGGCAGGCATGCTTATCTCCTTTTTAATTTTTAACATTATTTTATCATTTTTGTGTGTATGAATGCCTTGCCTGCATGTATGTAAGTGCACCCGTGTTGTGCAGTGCTCAGAGAGGTCAGAAGAGAGCATTTTGGATCCCCTGGAACTGGAGTTACAGATGGTTTTAGTCACTATGTGGGTGCTGGGAACCCAACGGGGTCCTCTGCAAAAGCAGCCAGTGCTCTTAACTGCCGAGCCATCTCTCCAGCCCCCTTTCTCCTTTTCAAAGTGTCTTAATGTTCTCTTTAAGTTGATGGTAAAGTTTACTTTGTAGAATTAAAAAATTCTGCTGCAGAGCTTTATAGATAGAAATCTGCTACATCCAATACTCTTTCCATGACAAGCTTTTAAGCAATGGGTTAAATAGAACAACTCAACTAGTAACTTTGCCCTTTATTTACCACAGGGGAAAAAAGGTAGTTCAAGACAAATATTGGGTTAGATTTCTGTCAGAGGACAAAATACTTGAGAGAAGCAAGTTAAAGGAGAAAAGATCCCTTTCAGCTCAGGTGAGCGGTTCCAGTGCGTGGTCACTTGGCCTCACTGCTGTAGGTTCATGGCAAGGCAGTCCGGGGTGAGAGAAGCCGCTCACATTGTGTAAGGCAGGAATTAGGGAGGAATGTACACCCTCCTCAAAGGCATACCTTGCTGACTGACTTCCTTCAGCTAGGTTCCACTGTCCCATAGCTCGTTCAGCCACGAACTCAATGATAAATCCACTGATGAGGTTAGCATCTTCCTGACCCAATTATTCCTCAACAGTATCAACCAGCTGGAGACCCAACCTTCAACACGTGTGGGGTGTTTCGTATCCTAACCATAGCAAACATACCATTGGCTGTTTCATTCAAGTTGCTAATACTGCCTCATCACAACTGTCACTCACAGACATAAACTGTGATATGAAAAGCTTTTTGTGTAGTTTCCATTTTGACTATTTACCTTTAAGAACTACAGAGAGTACCATTTTTTTTGTACATTTTTCTTTTCTTTTTTCTCCTTAGTCTAAGTACTGGCAGCCGATCACTGCCGGGTGAGGGAGAGTTGGTCTTCTTTAAGGGAGTGACGCTAGGCAGGCTGACCAGGCTCCAGTAGATGAACTTGCACCGAGGGACATCTGGGGACACTAACTTCAGTCAATAGGCCTTAACATATATGACAAAATTTTGGTTCTTTTTTTACCTTTGCCTACTTTATTAGTAGAAATCATTTGGTTATAATTCAGAGAAACTTAACTGAAAAGCCTTTCGGCAAAGAATGAGGACAGCCCCTAAGGGAAGAATGCCTTACCTTGATGGAGCCAGACCTGGAAGTCTCCAATGTGAACGCTGGAATCAGAAAAACCCATTCAAATCTCAGCCTTTAACACTTAACTGTTCTTATCAGTAATGTGACATTTAATAATTTAGCATTATTAAGAAAATATAGTTATAAAAGTTTGCATATAATCTCTCTCAAAGCTTCAAATTTCAGGATACCGTATATAACATATATATTTTTTTGTGACTACTAACATTCATATAACATTTTTTTTTGGTCTTTTTTTTTTGAGACAGGGTCTCCCTGTAGCCCCAGCTGTCCTGGAACTCACTATGTAGACCAGGTTGGCCTTGAAC